CACACAAAAGCTCAGATGCTGGACCTGGTGGTCCTGGAGCAGTTCCTGGCCATCCTGCCCCAAGAGATGGAAAGCTGGGTGCGGGAGTGTGGAGCGGAGACCAGTTCCCAGGCAGTGGCTCTGGCCGAAGGTTTCCTCCTGAGCCAGGCAGAGAAGGAGCAGGGAGAGATGCAGGTGAGAGAATGTCACCAGGTTACTCAAGATGGTCACAGTATGAAAACCAGTGGTATTAAGTTCTTAAATGCTTCCCTTCTAGGGCTAAGAAAATCAGGAAGATATTTCATTTCCTCACTAAGCAGATTATACTATTACTCTCCCACAAGATATGAAAATCCAAGTTCTTCCTGGGAAAACTGTTGACTTGGGGACAGTAATGTACTCTTTTCCCTTGGTTGCTGCTTCAGGTTCATGAGCCCTTCATGGAGGTGGCTGCTGAATGTCCCAAAGCATGGGGCGACACATCATATTCCTCTCAGGAGCTCACCTTTAGAGGGATCTCCCAGGAGGACTCATCTCAGATCTCATCCTCAGGTAAAGGAGAATCCTTCTGATGCAGTACAGCCCTCAGGACTTTACATTGCCTGAGCTTTAATTCATGAGCTTCATTTTCAATAGTACTTCAGCCTTATGTGCCAGAATGGCCTTTGTGTATAGTTTTGCTCCAGAATGTACAAAGGATGTTTTAAAAACAAGTACTTTACACCTTTTGTTTCACTGTCAGAGAATAGAACAGCACTGATGGTACCTGTGGAAACATCTCTTCTTTGTGGTGCAATAGAAACAGCAGTTTTGCTTCCAGCTCAGGTAGGAAGAGGATTCTACTTCCCAAAGTTGAAATGTGATTTAATCAAAGAGCATCCAATGAGCTGAATTCCTTTTCCAGACCCACTTGCTTCACTTTGTGAGGTCCCATCTAGCCATTTTTTAAAAACATGAGCAGTTTCCCAACCATTTGCATATTAATAGGATCATGTGTTATTCCTTCAAGGACATCTCCCAAAATCTTCATGTAAGTCTGGAATAAGTATTGTATTGATCCCTGAGGGCTAACATTAGCCACTCTTTAAAATATCACATAGCATTCTCTGAACAGGTTGTTGATGAAACCATCTTCCAGAAAGGACTTGAGCCTTTGATCAATAGTTCATCCAGAGTCTGTCCTATCAGTTGAACCTAGCTTTTGGTGTGGCTGTCTCTGAATTGGACTGAAGGATCTGCAGGATAAGTTAGATTAATGAAATATTGTCCCAACTATGTCATCAGTCAGGTTTGAACTCTCCATTTTCTGTGACAGATTTCTCTAGGGAAGATACTCATATTCTCTGTGTCAAAACTGATCTTGGGGATTTCTTCATTAAGAAACAGAATTTGTGAATACTTCCTGGAACTGTATATTAATAGGAATATTTTCTTCCTTTCCCAGGATCCAGTTTCTTTTGAGGATGTAGCAATTAATTTCTCTGGGGAGGAATGGGCTCTGCTGGATTTTGACCAGAAAACTATGTACACAGAAGTCATGCTGGAAAATGCTAAGATTGTGGCCTCCATACGTAAGGGTTCCTCTTTGCTCTGGGTTCAAATGTTATCTAGGGAAAAGTAATCTATTTCTTGGAGGAAATGCTTGTCTGTTCTTTTTCTACAGTGGAGTAGAACTTCCTTAACTGGATTGCTCCTCTGAAAGGCAGGGCTAAAATCTTCATGCTGTCTATATAAAGAGCAGAGAGCACCCTCCCAATCTATTTCTGGTCCTGCCTGTCCAATTTTGCAGGTTGCCTCAGGAGCAACTTTTGTCTTTCTGTTTCTTGGTGATGATGATGGTGATGAACCCCTATAATGAGGGGTTTTGGAAGCCTAGATAGTCCCACACTGTTAATTGGATGGATGGAACTCCTAATAATTGGGCTGTTCTCTCAGCTTGACTAGGAGGTGTGACCAGCCACCTAGGTGGCTCTCCCACCTGTTTGGCCCAAAATCTAATTGATGTAGCTGCTGATTTCAGATTCAGTGGTACCTGAAGGTCCTTTCTAAACTCTGGCCCAACTTTTTCAAGGATGTGAAACCTTGTGGGTCATGATCCATCAACTGCCTTGGTGTCAACCTGTAGTTTATCCTAACCACTTGACAGTGGTTTCCAGCAGCAAATAAGAAGAAGCACCAGAAGTCAAGAAAAATACCACATGGCCCAGAAGAAATGAAAACAAGGGGGAAATCTTGATAATATTCATATAAAACATGCAACTAATGCATCTTGATCCTTGTTAGCACTCTCAGTTTATGCCTAAATTATCTCATCTTTCTTTTTTTTTTTCCCAAGCAGGTGATGGGCAGAAGATTGAGAATTATAAGCAGCCAGCAGTGGAACATTTGCAAACGGTCAAAAATGAAATTAAAGAAAGGTTCTTTGAAAATCCATGGGGACCAAAAAGGCCTAAGGAAAACCAATTCAACAATAAGGTAGAGAAATCTTCTACATTGCAATGTGCAGAAATCCATGTCTTCGTACCCCAACAATATCACAAAGAGAAAAAATGTATAGGGTGTGGAAACATATTCAGGAATAAATCCAATTTCTGTGAATATTGTAGAACCCTCACCAGAGAGAAACAATATGAATACAGAGAACAAGGAAAAAATTATAACTGGGGCCTCCCTCTCTCTTTACATCAAAGCACCCATGTCGGAGAAAAATCATATAAATGCATGGAGTGTGGGAAAAGTTTCAGTAAGAGCAGTAATCTGAATGCCCATAAAAGAATCCACACAGGGGAGAAACCATACAAATGCCTGGAATGTGGAAAGAGCTTCCGCAAGAACAGTAACCTTACATCCCATATAAGGATCCACACAGGGGAGAAACCATACAAATGCATGGACTGTGGAAAAAGTTTCAGGTGGAGCAGTAACCTTACTTCCCATAAAAAGATCCACATAGCAGAGAACCATTTAAATACATGGAGTGTGCAAAGACTTCACTATGATCAGTCACCTTACATCTCATAAAAGGATCGTCTTGAAGGAGAAAGGAGATAAATGAATAGAATGTGGAAAGAGCAAGAACAGTAACCACACTTCCCATAAAACAACCCACTTGGGAGAATCCCTGTAAATGAATGGAGGGTGGAAATGCCTTCAGGATGATCAATCACCTTATTTTCCATAAAAGAGTCCACACAGGGGAGAAACCACATGAATGCATGGAGTGTGGAAGAAGCTGCAGTGACCTGAGTTCCTTTATTTCACATAAAAGGATTCACAGGAGGGAGAAACTATACACAGGCTTGGAGTGTAGGGAGACTTCATTACGATGAGCTTGGAGTGTAGGGAGACTTCATTACGACGAGCTTTAGCTCTAATAAAAAGTTCCATTTAGGGAGGAATTGTTTACGGTCCCTGAGTGTGGAAAAACATCAGGGATTCCAGTTCTGAGGCAAGCAAAAACATTACATGAGTTGATGATGGACTAGAGAAATCTCTGCCTGGCATGATTGAATGAAGGAGATGAAGGAGAAGACAAAAGAGGAAACACCTGGGAAGGATCAAAGAGATTACAGAAAGTCCTTGAAAGCCCTACGAGTCAGTCTTAGAAGCAAGATGGTTTTGTTTCTGTCCAGTATCTGGAATCGAGCCCACTTAACTAACCTTATTCAATGAACACTGTGTGTGTGTGTCTGAGTGTGTGTATAGTAGGATGCTTCAGGGATCCAAACTGTTTTTTTAAATCACACATCCTACATACCCAGTGGTGGGAAGGGTTCCCACTCCCCAAACTAATTACCGAATGAACTGGGATGGGGAATTTCTTTATATCTGTTGAAAAGAGTAACCCTTTCAGAAATAAAAGATCGGGTGTCGTGTGAAAATGCAGACTATGCTATGAATCCCATCGAACATTAGCCCAATGTTCTATCTAAACCTAACTCATCTACTGGGGCTGGGACTTATCCTTGCTGCTATGCTGGTTTGCTGAAATTTAACTTATTTTCCCTAAGAGTTTCTCTCTCTTTTCCCCTTTCTGCCATCCTTCATTCGTCTCCAGTTTTATCCTTGCCTTTCTTTTCTTCTCCTTCCAGTGTAGCTACCCATTCCCCAAATCTCCCCCTCTCCTCCTCCTCCTCCTCCTCCTCCTCCTCCTCCTCTTTTCCTGCTGGAAAAAGGAAGGAGAACATGTATGCGTGCCTATGTTTATGCCTACTGATGAGATTATGCTTCATATATGTAGATGAAGATCTGGTTATTTTGCTGTTAATTAATTTTTATATTTTAATAATTCACTTAACATTTCTTTTGACATGGGCCTGCCCTTTTTGAAGCGTAGCTTCTGACAGCTAAATGCACGCACACATGCCTGGGTCACACATACACCTAGAAGAGATGGAGGGAGTCTCAAAGATTGCTATCTGTTGGCATCTTAAGTTTGACAGCCAGAAGGGAACCTGGACATGGCACAGAATGTTTGTCTTAAATATATTATTATTTTGTTATGTCTATTTCTTTTTTAGGGCATCGTCTTAAATTCATGAACCCATTATGTTTGTATAAAATAGGCTAATTACAGATAAATGAATATGTCAGAGTTATCACTTTTATCAACCATTTCATACTCAGAAGCCACTGGAAGAAAATGCAGTGGCCATTCATTTCTTCATACATGTTCTTGACTTGGGGCAAGCAGCAAACTGCCCCCTTTTGCAGAAGTTACTCATATTCACGAAGCAAGTGAATAGAAAATTTGGGAGGGGAGATCGTCTGAAGAGAGGGAAGAGGGCAAAGAGAGAGAACAGCTGCAGAAATGTAAGCAGTGACTTGGCCCAGGTTTCAGATTACTGAATCATTCAAGATAGCGAAAACCTGAAGTGCTTGTGAGGAGCTCCAAAAGGAACTATTTTAATTGGATGATGAAACCAAGCAATGTTTTAATTTAATAAGCATAAATTATTTTACACATTATGGCAGACGTATACACACAGAGCATTTGACATGTACACTGATGGAGTATGACTCTATGTAACTTACCAGGAGTTGTGGAATGTAGTGAATTGCTCAGCGAAGAAGGCAAATCAACCTGCGGCAGCTGTGAAAAGGATGCCATGTTAGGTATCATTAGAAAAAGGACTGAAGATGAAACTGCCAACCATGCAATGCCTTTCTACGGATCTCTGGCATCTTTGCATGGGGGATGCTATGTATGATTCTGGTGGCCCTGTCTGAAAACAGGCATAATAGGCGAAAAAACTGCAAAAGAGGGGAATGCAAATGATGAGGAGTCAGGGACGTCTTTTTTATGAGAGCAGGGGAGAACATTTGGGACTCTTGAGCTTTAAAAAAGGCAGGTAAAAGGGGATGTTACTGAAGTGTATAAAATCATGCTTGGCATACAATCATAGAAGACAAAAACAAAATTAAGTGTAATCTTTAGAAGTAGAGAAATGGCCTCATCGTAATGAAAGTCCTTTAATAGACTGAGGCTTTCCCCCATAGTGACAAATTCTGACCTTTCCCCACCAAGATAGAAAAGGGCCTTTTTGCAGTTTTAGTTGCTCTTAGTGGTCGTTTTCAATCGTTCTCCTCCAGCTGCGCTCCTTCTACTAAAGTTTGCTCCCTTGTTTCTTTTTCTGACTCTCCCAACATAGATTGTTTCACACTGGTTCTCTGTGTTTCTGCATTTTCTGCTCTTCTGGCTGCTGTAATTTTTCTTTCAATCCGTTCTGTTCCTTTATCACCTCACAGTATTTAAGAGACATTCAATTACAGTTTCTTGCAGTTTCAGGAGGCTCTGGAGATCTCTCTTAGTTTGTTAAAAAAAATTAGGAGAGCCATTTTTAATTGTCTTCTGCTTAACTCCTCACAGAATAGATGCATTTCTCCTTACATTTTTAAAATAAAATAGCTTTATATTTTATATTGGCTGTTTTCTCCCTGTCTTTGGTCTTTTCAAAGGATTCCACTTCACTTACTGAAATTACCTTTGGCACCCTGCATTTAATTTGATTGATTGATTGATTGATTGATTGATCGATCAAATTTATACGCTGCCCATCTCGATGTATAAGTGACTCTAGGCGGCTTACAAGTAAAAAAGAAAGCTATAAATATCTATACAAAAATATACAAAAGTTAAAAGACAGAGAGACCGTCTTCAAGCCACCAGCCATGCCCAGTGCTGCGAATCCCCATTGGGTCCCCATGCTAGTTGGGAGAGCCAGGTCTTGATGCTCTTCCGGAAGGCCAGAAG